TGCAAAAAAAATGTCCACTTTTACAGAGTCATTTGAAAAAATGTTCAAAATTTCTTCGTCCATTTTACTATAATATAGACCAAAATGCTCTCATTAAAAATTTTAAATTCCACGTGAAGACAAAATTATTTATATAATTAAAATTGTATTGACCAATAATAACTTGACACATAATCTAAAAGTATCATGTCAATCATGCATTAAATGCTCACTTCTCCTTATAAGTGGATAAATAAAACATTTATGAAATGTCGAGAAATACATTTAAAACGTCAAGAATATTATGAAATGTAGAGCTCTCTCATATTCAGAATGAAATCTCATTCTCAACAAATGAAGTGTTAAGATAAACAGAGTCCAAATGTCGATAACAACTTTTAAAATGTCGAGAATGTCATGAAATATCAAGAATAACAACTATTAAACTCAATTTGTCAACAAAAACAAGATTTCAAAGAAAAATTACCTGCTATCGAGAATTGTGGAAAGTCTAATCAATTGCAATTTTAGATAAGATTAAATTTTCGTAATGAAATTATATGATTTTCTTATGAATTGGAAGCATATAATTATTTTTTTGTGTTATTGACTTTTCTACTTCATCTTCTTCGTTTTTCCCAAAATTCTTGGTCAAAACCTAATAGATAATAACAGCAAATGAATCCATTAGGTATTGGCTAGTATTAATGTAGCTTCTGATGGAAGTTATTTGTTCTTCTCAAAATTCATGACAAATTGAAAAAAAAAAAGATGTTTTATTTTTCATTGAGAGTATAATAGACAATTTGATACTAAATTTGACCATTTTTATAATAGTTATCAAAATCAGACATTTTTCAATTGACTATTTTTGTAAATTCCCCTATTATGAATAGAACTGACAATTTGTCTTGAAAGGGTACAATTGTTACATTTTTTTTTTTTTTGATCCATGCAATTGTTACTTTTTTCGTTTGTCAGTGGGGTTGATCGTGACGGGAGAAAAAAATGGTAAAGCTTGAACCCAAGTGGAAAATTTCATTAGCTAATACCTGTTCCCAAGAAGAGCATGAAGTTGAATGATGGTTTGCTCTTCTTGTAAGCTGAAGTTTCCTCTCTTAATATCAGGCCTCAAATAGTTTGTCCATCTTAATCTGCAACTCTTCCCACATCTTTGGAGCCCTACATGCCACATGACCAACAAAAACTGATTATTTATTTTTATTTTTTTCGAAATGATAAAATGCGTGAAGTCTAATCGAAAGTGCGTGAGAGGCCCTAGAAAAGAGAACCATCACACTCATTTTCTCAACAAAGTTTGTGTAAATCTCGTGTTGAGGGCGAACACCAAGGGAATCCGTTAACATAACAAGGGTTTCCATGCATATTAGAAGCTCAATAGTCAATCCTATATATTCGATACATAGCATGGATGTAATGTAATAGTTATCCATAATTACCAGCTTCTGCAGGGAGAGCTCTCCAATTTCCATGGCCATGTTTTTCAACATAAGCTAAAAGCTTTTGGTCTTCCTCTGCAGTCCATGGACCTTTTTTCAAGCCTA